CCGGCTCCGGCGCCCGGCTAGTGAGGAAGCGTCAGCCCCACCACCGAAACCTGCTTTTGGTGCCGAGCATGCCCAGTGCCGCTGCGAAAGCGAGGCGCTTAGCCACGCGCATTCCACTTCTGGTTTTCGCGGCAGCAGCAGCAGCAGAGAGGGGAGGAGGCCGCGGGTTGGGAGAGGGCCGGGCATACTTGGGAATTGCACACCCTGGACCAGAGATGGGAGGATGCTGGGGAGCCAAGTGAAAGCTGGAAGGGATGAGGGAAGGATGGAACTCCGGGATGGAATGGTTCTCAAAGGGTCAGGTCCTTCATTCACGTGCAAGCTACTGACAGTGGATTCTGGAGGGGCAGATAGCAGTCTGCAAAAGGCTGAGGATGGAGGGGGCGTCTAGAACAGCTTGTGAGTTGGGGGAGGGGGACCAGGATCGCTATTCATGCTGGTGGACCCAGGTGGATGCTCTTGTAGATCCTGTGGTTCTAGAGCAAAGAAGAGGTGACATCGGTGAAATGTCTTTTTCACAGTGCTTGCCCGCCCCATCTTACCATCACTTCCAGTGTTCTGATCACATGATTTTCACAGGTGGAGAGACTTTCTTTTTCTGCAACAAAGACACTTGTCTGGTCTGAAGTTGATTACAGGTGATGAGTTCTCCTCCTCTCTTCTTGTGTCATCTTTTTTTAGTCGTTTTCTTCTGCATTTTTGCCACCTTCCTTCCTCCTCCTCTTCCCCCTTTTCAAACTAAAATGGAAAAGCTCAACTCTTCCTTCCCCCAGTCTTCCTATACAGGTTGCATTACATTCTTCATTTTTTTAGATGGGTTTTCCAAATCTCCTCATGGTCATACAGCTGATTAACCCCAGTGAGATTTCTCAGTGTGTCTCTTGCTGTGAAATTTAGCAAGTAGAGGCACCCTATTGAATATCTTGCTGGCAAACAAGACCCTTGTCATATGCCAAGGAAGTCCTCAGGGCCTTAACCTGTGACCCTCTGTTTCAGGAGTCATGTGGGGAGCATCCCTACCGCATTTTCAAGACCACAGGTTGCACGGGAGCCAGGACAAATGCTGCCACCCTGCCATAGCTCAGCATCCCTGATACTGCAGATGGCAGACTATGTGGAGTTGTGATCTTCTCCACTCCATCCCTCCCCAGAGCTGGTTCTGAAACACTGATAAGCATGACAGAATACTGGAAATCATAATAAGAGGGATTTGGGGCTTATGAATCTCAATGTGCTTCTATTTTGTATTAGAAAGATTATCCAACAAAGTTAAATAACTTGAATATATAATCAGTGCTAATCTCTAACATACTTGGGAGTAAGTCAGAATATAAGTTGAAGTAAGAGTATAGTAGAAAATGTTTTAAACAGGTTAAATAGGTAAAAATAAATGAATGGAGCAGCAGATTATTGAAGGACTACTGACAACCACACAAATACATTCTTATTACCTGTGTCTTGAGGATGCACATGCTTAAGTTGGCTTGTCTCACCTACAAAAATAGTTCTCCAGTGTGGCTCTAAGCTGTAAAGCTGGTCTGATATTAAAATAGTCTGATTCCTATGAGGGAAGACATGCAAGGCCACATATTTAACTCTATTATATTTTTATTTTTGTTCTGAGATAGGCAGTTAATTACATTGAGTTCTTGGTACAAGAAAAATTAGCAGCATCTTTTGTATTAGACCAGATTATATTTTAAAAGATGCTCTTTATTTCCAACTTTAGTCTTGTCAATTTGTTTTTATTTTTGTTTGTCTATTTGTTTGTTTTTCTCTTTACATCCTTTTTTAACTCAGAAAGTTGTGGGGAACGAGGGAAAATGGTGAGGGGAAATCAGGTACTCTTTGGGTTAAAATTGAGGTAGCTGCATAAGTAATTCCCATAGAAAAGTTTGTGTGTACTTTATGCCCATAGAGATCCAAAATAAGACAATAATGTTCCAAACCATTTTTAGAGTTACTTTTGCAATGAGCAATAGTGAAAATCCTATTCACTAATTATGCACCTTGAGAATGACCCATAGGCAATCCCTAGATTTCACTGGGAATGGGTAAGAGGTACTAGAACTGAGTAGTGATACCCAGGATTACATTGACTTAATTTGCTCTATGCCCATTTTTCATTGAAACATTTATGATTTCTATACTTCTAGAATAATTTATTACTCTAGATATTATTAAATTTTGAAGTAGATAATTTTGAAAAATAAAGTAAAATGATCATGTGTAGTGTTCGATCTTGGAATGACTCACTGCTGCCATCTTTTGCCTCCTGCTTCTGATAGTTCCTGTAAAAAGGAACATTCGGAATTCACTAACTCACTATAATACCAGAAAATTATTATTTTATTGTTTTCAAATGATAGCAATTAATACTAAGTGAAAATCTTTATTGTATTTTTTTGCAGATGCATTATTAGAGTTATGTAATATAGAAATCACATTTAAATAAAAGTTTTACTTAATTTTTAGAAATGAGATCTAATGAAGTTTATGTGTCATATTTTGTAATTTAAAGTATGTCAATTTTGGGAAAATGATATCCTTATGTGAGAAAAAGTTGCTTAGTATACTATTATACTTTGGTATTTAGGCTCAAATAGAAGATACTATTTGTATAATTTTCAATGTATATTACCCATTGATAATCACACAGAAGGTTTGAAAATTGGAAAATAATATTATGAGAGTAGTTATTGTTGCTTCCCTGAATATAAGTAGAGTAAAAATACTTCTTTAAAATTCACAATCTAGACTTTAAATATTTTTTTGGAATAGTAACAAGTAGTGTAATCACAATGATACATATATATATATGTTTAGGAGCCTAATAAATACCACTATGAGTTGATCATTAAAGATGTGGTATTTGATACTTAAGATTGTCACTGTTGTATTTAAAGACTTGAAAAGTGATTAAATATTTGCATTGGCCATTTTACTTAATATCAACCTGTGGACCACTCAGTATTTGATTCAAAACTTCACACTTCATGCACACTGCCTTTCATTATGGCTAAAGGCATCTGATGTGTTTTCAGCAAATATTGACTAAGCATGTAGTGTGGTTCAGTCCTAGGAAAATTTGAAGAATGGTTAGAAAATAATAGATTAAATAATTAATTCTCTATATTTATAGAATTTAACAGTAAATTTGGACTTACTGAGTAAAAGAAAAAGACAGAACCCCAAGAAAGTAACCACAAAAGCCTAATATAATGAAATATCCTCATTTCTTTCTTTTCTTTTTTTAAATAATGAATTAGCATTTATTGATTGCCTTCTATCTACCACATTCTATCCTAACCCCTTTCATCCATTATTTCATTTCCTCTTTTTAAAAAATTTAATTTATTCTAATTAGGTATATATGACAGCAGAATGCATTTTGATTTATTGTACACAATTGCAGCACAACTGTTCACTCCTCTGAGTGTACATGATGTAGTGTTGCACCATATGTGCATTCATACATGTATGTAGGATAATAATGTCCATCCTGTTCCATCATCTTTCCTGCCCCCATAGCCCACCACTCTCCTCACTCCTCTTTTTCCAAAGTTCCTCCATTTTTCCCCATGCCCCCCATTATGGATCAGCATCCACTTATCAGAGAGATTCAGCCTTTGGGTTTGGGGGATTGGCTTACTTCATTTAGCATGATATTGTCCAGCACCAGACATTTACCTGCAAATGCCATAATTTTATTCTCTTTTAATGCTGAGTAATATTACTTTGTGTATGTGTACCACAGTTTCTTTATCCATTCATCTTTTGAAGGACATCTAGGTTGTTTCCACAGATTAGCTATTGTGAATTGAGCGGCAATAAGCATTGATATGGCTGGGTTAATATAGTATGCTGATTTTAAGTACCTTGAGTATAAACCAAGGAGTGGAATAGCTGGGTCGAATGGTAATTCCAAGTTTTCTAAGGAATCTCCACACTGCTTTCCTGATTGGTTGCACCAATTTGCAGTCCTACCAGCAATGTATGATTGTGCCTATTCTCCCACATGCTTGCAAATACTTATTGTTGTTTTTGTAGTTTTGATAATTGTCATTCTGACTGGTGTGAGATGAAATGTTAGAGTAGTTTTGATTTGCATTTCTCTAATTACTAGAGATGTTGAACATTTTTTCATATATTCATTGACTGATGTTGGGACTTCAATTGAAATCACATTTGAATCTGTAGAGTGCTTTAGGTAGTATGGCCATTTTGACAATATTAATTCCACCTATCCAAGAGCATGGGATATCTTTCTATTTGCCAAGGTCTTCTTCAATTTCCTTATTTAGTGTTCTGTAATTTTCATTCTAGAGGTCTTTCACCTCTTTTGTTGATTCCCAAGTATTTTATTTTTCTTTTTTGAGGCTATGTTGAATGGGGTAGCTTTCCTAATTTCTCTTTCAGAGGATTCATCACTGGTGTATAGAAACACATTTGATTTATGGGTATTGATTTTATATCCTGCTACTTTGCTGAATTTGTTTATTA